AGTATAAGTTCTAAAAACTTCGAAGGTATGTGATTTATATATTTCATAACGAAATTTTCGGGATTAATTATACCAAATAAAATGGCTGAGTTTTTAATGTGAATGATGGAAAATGATGGATACTTCTCAATATATTTTTTGTTGAGTAAGTTTCGGTGAAGTGTAATATTAATCTAATACATTTTCCCGTTCAGGACCTAAGCATGGAACGCTAGATTACAAACTGTGAAAAATCAACATCTGTTTCTCCCAATATTTCGTCGACCCACTTTTTTCTGACATATCTTACGGGTTCACATCATCGAGTCATCTGTTGCTGACGATGAGTAAGGAACATACACGATCGTCGAACTGCACCGCAACAGCAGACGCTGCGCCGTTCGACTTCCACACAGTCTGGCGCTGCCGCCCCCGCCATCCAGTAGTTCGATATCGCATCCAAGGCTGTATCATCTTCACTGCGAGTCTGATCTTCATCGCTGTATTGTTATTAAGACGTCTTGAAAATGACAGGTATCGTACTACGTATAGTAAAGGATTGAGTTTTTTTAACAAAAATTTACTTCGGTTATTTCGAGGGAGCGATATTGAATACAAAATCGTAGAAGACTGAAATTTTGTACTATTCAATAAGCTTCAATTTCATATACTAAAAAAAATCTTAACTGGCATTGCATTAGTTTTGCCATGATGCGCCCAAGAGTTTCGTTAATTTTTTAAAGGCCATTTTTTTTTAAATTTTTTAATTAAATATCAACCTCTAGCAAACACAACTTTAGTTGTGTTTGCTAGAGGTTGATATTTAATTTTCCTTTGTTGCAAATGCACGGATAGCAGCCACAACTTAATCGTGAGTGTCAAGATCTCATTGATGTGATTTTGCGTGTTAAATCCATCGATTCGATTAATTAACGAAATTTTAGTTAAGTTCAGTTTCATAATCACACTAAGATTACGACACAAACAAATCCACGGAGTTTTAGTCCAAAGTTATTTGTTTTATGAAAGTTTTGATTTTTCAAGAATATAGCTAACAATACAATGTCTTAAATACAATGTTTAAAATACAATAACAACAATATTTGTTGAACTATATTCATAAAAATCTCGTACAACAGCATTGTTTATTTTTCTGGTCAACACCATTCGCTATTTCCTACCATAAATGTATTTAGAAAGTATTTAGCCGAGAAAAATGTTTAAGTGAAATTACGCTTTGATTTTTGTACGGAATGTCTATCTCAAGGTTCTTCAGATTAATCTTCGATGTTTAGAGTATTGCAACATCCAATAAAAGCGAACAAATTGCTGGCTTCATGTTATTCGATCCTTTTTTTTTGGAAAGAATTCAATCATATGATTGAAATGGCACTGGCGTAGGCATCACCGACCGAGCAAATAATTCGCGTATAATTTTTTTGTACTCCATAACACCACAAGTGAGGAGCAGATTTGAAAATGTAGACTGATTGCTAGTCTAGGGTAAGCTGGCAATCACATGGTCTTTTCATTTTAAAAATGAAAAGACACGTTAATTTTTTCAACACGTTATTTTGAATTTTGAATACGTTATTTTCGATTGACGGCGTCTTCATTTCATTAAATAAGAATAAGCCTATCATTGTATTGTTCTATAAAATATAATTTAAATTATTCTCTACATTATTTTAAGTTGACGTGGACAATGAGTAAGGAAAATAACTAAATTTTTTCCCCGAATGGATCATAATTCTATAAAAATTCCCAATATAATTTATCGCAGTCAACTTTTGTGCAGCAGGCAGGGGACAACTTAAGGAAAACCTTATTCTTCCTGAAATTGTTTGTCAAATTCAGGAGTTATTAATGCAGTAAATAAAGTGGTGAAAGACAAAATCAATCGCAATAACTGTCTGATTAACCCACATTGTAATATACCTCAATAAATACCATGCTACTGGTGAATATGCTGAAAAACAATGTTTCTTTGTTGAATTGTACACGCTGTATCTGTATAATATAGGTTATGTTAACCGATTTGAATAAACTATGGTTACCTGCATTACATGGCTCTAGAAAACTGCACTTCTGATGTGGAAGAAAGCGCTCAATATTGATGTGGTGAGCATATAATGAATCTAATTTATCACGATCAGTCGAGTGAGCAGTGAAACTGGGGTGGAGTTGAAGTTCGACACAACGCTATCTACTGCTGTAGTATTGAATTGTACTTTAGTTATTCTTGTATAAGGTATTGGGTTAACGATGAGTAGGTATACGAAAGCGATGCGGGAATGGATTATGGATTCAGCCGATCATCTATGACATTGACATCATCAAAACTTAAAGATTGATGCAAATCATGACATAAACTGTCCATAATCCAGCCGTGAGAATTCAGAGATCAATAATGTTGATTCTTACAGCATAAAGAATAATCATATGAGTAAATTTTCCTCGTTGAAAAATTCGTCGTTCAAACTTGAATTTAAGGTATTGTCATTAATTTACTTGTGCCAACGTACGAATTTTGTAAAAATTCTAGTTTTCCTGCATTATTTACTAAAATAGCGTTCAATTGTTTTTGAACATTTTTTCTGCAGTGAGCCTAGATATGATCCTAAATAAATATAAAATTCCATCTTTATATAATGGAATATAAATGACCCAATTAGGATACCTTCGGCAGAAACTAATAATATCAATAATGATTTAAATCATTGCTCGATATTGATAATCTCTTTGAGATACATTAAAGTGATAGCAACCTGAAGTAATAAATCACCGAAATTGCTTTAGCGTAGCATAGGTGCACATGCTGCTCTACGACTACCGTTGTTCTGTAATGTTCACTACGGCGTGAACGGATGAAGCGTTTGCGCTCGATCGCTTCTCGTGGCGTTTAGTTGTCGGAGAAGCGGATTTTTCAGAGCATAAAGAGTGCAGATGTTGTCGGGATGCGTCAATTTCTCACACAAATCACCACGAGTGCGCCAGTTTTCCATGGGATAGTGCATCATGCATGGCTATAGCTGGGACCGTATAGTGCAAATAGAATGAGCAGCGGCTAGATTAAAAATAAATACTTGAATAGTGATCATGAAGCTTTCAATTAAAGAATGATCAAAAGCTAAATGGGAAACTCCATGTTACCAGTAGAGTTGGAATTGAACAATTTGAACGATTTCCACTTTAATTTGGCGAAATAATAGATCTATAGATCTTATAGCAATGGTCCCAACCCATAACTTTGAACTGTGCTTATATATAGTTTTAAACCAAGTATCGAATAGAAATTCATTCGATTTTTTACGAAAATTTTAAGCATTTCGTTGCTCAATTATTTTGATTAATTTAATATTCAACGACTTTCACAGGAAGAACTTGTAACTTCACAACAATCGCTTCTGTTTCGGCGGCCGGTCTGGTTTTGATCTTGAGTTTGAATGCCCATCTGATAGAAACCGCTTCACATGGCAAGTGAGTTTAAATTACTTTAATTCAGCTCAGGTAAGCTTGCTATATATTATATAATTCAAGGTGTAATTTCTCATCGAAGTGACGTGACCACTGTCTTTCAACCAGTAATTTCATCAAATCTTTCTCTGGCGCTATTTACTTTAATTATTATGAAAGTAATTAATTTAATGAAATGTAATTTTTTCTTGATTTCCAGGAATAAGACATCATGGAATGTGAACGCCGAGTTGAATGAGGGCTTTGGAGCTCGCCCCAGAAGAATGTTTGTGAACAACCGCTACTTCAGCAGCGACGAAGTGACACGGGAAAAAGATAAGACGAAGAATATTGATAGCGAGATAACTTCACTAGACGAGCTGCAACACCTTCAGGAATCTTGGGGAAATTCAGACAATAAGCCTCTGAGAGCATCGGATAAATTTCTAGAGCTAGCCCAGGTTGGAAGCGATAGCAATTCAAGCGGATATAATCAACCAACTATAACTATGGAAGACCATTGGGCTCGACTTAAAACAATTCTCACAAACATGCGAGGGATCGTCGAGAGGGAGTTCCCATCTTCAGGAACGGATGAAATGTTTGCTTTTTCAGTCATTGATAAAATAATTTCGTTTGGAGACAATGTCGAGGTATTCAAGCGCTTAGGTGGCGCTTTCGATTCGAATCTCATGTCATTTTTAGGGAAGAGATGGGCAGAAGTAGTGAAAAATGTCGTGAGCGGCAGCCCAATTTTGAACACGTTATTTTCGATTGATAGCAACGACATCACAAATACTATAATGACTCCAATTTTGTCAGGTATAGGGTCACTTTTCAAGAACAAGGCTCTGAAGCATCTCAGCGACTTGAGTTTTGTGTCGAATTTGATGAAATCCTCTGGTTTTAAAGACAATGAAATCAAAGAAGTTTTCACTCTCCTCGGACTATCATCTGACGATAATAATGTAGATGATTTGACTAATGGAGTGGAAGGACGACAGTACGGCAACATCATTGAGAAGTCTGGTGGATACGGACATTCAGGTGGATATGGACACGGAGGTGGAGGATACATGTCGCATGGCGGAGGAAGTTACATGATGCAAACCATAGACCCTTTCGTCCTACTTGCTGGTCTGGCGTTCGCTTCTTTCCTTGCTTTCTTGCTCTTCCGACTGCTTTCTCAAACTACGGGCCGGAGAAGAAGCATCCCGGACATTAACATCAACTTAGATTTGTCTGACACTCCTGAAGTAATGACAAACTTCTACAATTTCCTTGATGCAGCGCAGACAAAAATCGGACAAAACGGAACTGTAAGTCCTAGTCCTAAAATTTGTCAGAATTTTAATGCATTTCGATAAATTATCGATTGGTGAATTTGTAAGTCATTTGACTAATCATATTTTTAGATCACAATTTTCACATACTGTGATTCGCTACACGCGCGGTTTAAATTATGATACAGAAAACAATATTTAGTATTCTTTCTGAATCACGACGAAGATGAAATTTTGGAACGACTTCATCTGGATGTAGAAAGTTATTTGTATATATTTTCACCCTAATTTAGATATTGAAAAATCAGTGCAAGCATGCAAGAAGCTCCACATAACTAGCATTATTTCTACCCAATTAAACTGATACTAAATATTGCTTCTCTAGTACGACCCCATTGCCAAGTTTGGGACGTCTGCCAACACTCTGTGGAACACATTTCAAGTGGACCGCCTCGAGCGCTCCTGCTTGCGACGCTTCCTGTGCGAGACCGTAGAGAGCCCCGCGACTCCTGACAGCTCAGCTGTTCAAACAACGCTCCAGGAAATAGCTTTGTGAGTAAAACACATTCATAATCTCCCTTTGATATGTTACTGAATGAATAGAGATTTCTTAAAAAATCTGAATGCTTATAGACAGACAATATATTTTGCTGTCTACCATGAGAAACTATCATACAGAGGAAATGTTATTCAGCTGCTAAAATCTTTTTGTTTGCTGACATTGCGATAATTAAACATAAGGGCAGCATAATCAAGAAAATTGCCCTAGAATTAAATCTAACTCCTAGAATCAAATTCAACTTTAATTCTATCTCGAATCGAGAATGTTGCAATATAGATCACAATTTTATCAGGCTTCCATTTCACTGTGCGCTCAATTATTGTAATGAAAATGTATTCATTTAAAAAACCTGCCAGGCAAAAAACCTGGGCCAGGCGAAAAACCTCCACCTGGCCATAGCGCAACCTGAGATTAAAGCTAATATATTTGTCAAATTGGATGAATGAGCTTTGAATATAGATAAAAATCGCCCCTATGAATGGGGCCAGTTCTGTACAGGTAGACGCTAAATGGTTAAATAGCTACATATTTAAATATTTTGTATAATTGTACGACATAACATAAGGTCTGCCCTGGCGACACTGTTGGGTGAGGAAAGGAGCGCCCAGATGGTGGACGATGTGAACCATCACCTGATGGAGGGAGACCCTGAGACATGCAGTGGCCTGGCACCGCAGTGCGACGATGCTCTCTACGCTACAGCGCACACCCCCAGGCTACTGACTTACTGAGTTACTCTACTTACGCTACAGTGCACACCCCCAGTATATTGACTTACTGAGTTATTCTACTCCATAACTGGACATATGACTAGATTAACTCCGAAATTTTGCGGATCAGTTAAATCCACAGATCTTTTTTAAATAGTTTCAACTGATTCACTAAAAATGGTAAGAAATTTTGGAGAAGAAAAAAAAATTGGTTCACTAAGTTTATAAATAATTGGAAATCCATCTGCTCTTCAAATAGATTTTTAAAATATGACGGCCAGGTTTCGTCATTTAATGGTCAGAAGTCTCACATAATATAATTCTAATGAACGACAAATATGCGTAATACTTACATTCTTTCAATTGCTGACAGGTTTTGTGAATTTTAATTTAATTTTTTACGCTAGTACGGAATTACGAATGAAAAAAATCAGTTAATTCATAAAACATAAAATCTATTTGTACTATTATAGTAAAACATTATTAGTCTTTGATCTGAATAATGAATAACTAATGTTGAAATCTGAATAATGTTGAAATTTCTTTAAATCGCAGTCAGCTTACGTGAGATTTGAAATTATTTTGTTATTTGGCATTATTTTTACAACAAGAAACTCGAATCAGGTTAACTCAGCTTATTGAAATCATTTCATCTCGAATTTAGTGTTCATGGAGCACACATCAGATGGATATGCGGACACATCATTGGGATGTGTGGACACATTATTTGAACATGTGCTCCATAAACATTTCAGTGTACCATAAAATTCGGTACAAACCCAAAGAAACTAATACGTTTCTCGTATAGGAGGAAAACTGAGCCATTTTATGGCTTCTCGCAGTGGGAACGGAATGGCAAAGTCAATAAAATTCACTGAAAATTGAAATTAATTCTACAAAGATGATGTAAATTAATTTATATGATTACATGAATATTACGTGAATGTGCTAAGCAACGCTGACAAGATTTTATTTTAAGTGGAATTGATAAATTTAAAAGATAGACGACATAAATTGTTTGACTTTTGATTTCGAATGAACGAAAAAAACTGTAAAAGAATTAGAAGTAGATGCATAAACGATATTAAATAGATAATCGCTTTGATTATTATTTATTCTAGTGGGATTTTCAAAATTAATATTTTACAGTGTTACAGATCACGCGCATAAATTATTAAGCAAACAATGTTTATGCTTATCAATCAATTTATTAATTCAATGAACATTTTATAGCTTCGTAATTGTTTCAATGTTTATATGTCTGTTTGCTCCATCCAAAATGATTTAATATACATGTAAAATTTCTTGCAAACATCTTTTTCGATTGTTTCCCCAAACCCGGACTTGAAGAAAAGTAAAGATTTTTTGAAGAAAATTAAAGTTGATAAGTTAATCGTTGCACGAATTAATATAGAGGTTACTCATGATAATAGATCATACAGCCCAAGAGATTTATAAGATAGCATAACATAAAAAAGTTCGACACATATAGACGATAAAACTAACAAGACATAAATAAATAATGAATAAACGAAAATTAATGAATAAATTAAATTAACAATAAAAATAATAATGAATAAACGCCTACAACTGCTGCAACCATTGCTTTTCGTGCGGAAATTTTAATAAAAAAATTATTGATCTACCGAAAAATTGTTGATATGATGCAATCAGACTTATTTCCTAAAAATGGCTTTAAATCGTATAGACACGAGGCATATATTTATCTATTGAAAAATATTCACCTCAATCAGTGGATCCAAGTTTCAATTAAAATTTGTTATTAATTCAATTAAAATTTGTCCTAAGAGACTAAAAATTATTCAAATAAAAACTTCGACATGAGTCTCGAAAAAGAATATACAAGTTTATAAATTGCGTAGGAAAAAATCTAGCTTTTAATTATTCATCTTTCACTCATGAAGAACCCACGGAAGAATTAAATTAAGGAAGAAAACTCATGATAACAGACTGTACATGTCGCTCTAAAGCGTCAAAATTTATACGATTTCATGCATAGAATCTTATTAATTACAGACAAGTGAAGTATTCATATCAAAATTAATAGGGAAGTTCATGTTCATCCTGGACCATCAATTAAGGCATGCAATTCCATTCTGCAGATGAACAAAGTTGTTCGTTCCGACCGAGTTAGGCTGGGAATTTTGGCCCAAAGTTTAGGTTCAATAACTGGATCGGAAGAACAAGTTTGAAGTTTTTAACTGACTTGAGCACTGCGGCAGTAAACCCAATTGTGGTGATTCTGCCAGCTCAAGAGTCTTGTAGTGAATATGGAAGAAACGGGCAACTCGGAAATTATTGGAAGTAAATGATTGTCAATTAATAAATCCTTTATTTTCAGTTTCAGTTTGATGACCGAAAGGATTTATTGGAACAGTTCAGAAACTCCGCAACCATAAACAAAAAATTAATTATCATTGGCCTGATTTGAAATAATGGGCTCTCACTCACGAAAGTATCAATGTCGGAATCACATACAAGCGGCAGGTAGTTTAAATTGAGGTTTCTGCTGATAAAATGGAAACAGAAAATTGTCTTTTATTGGGCAAATATTTATGTGATGTGAATAGAGAACATTCGTTTTTGCTTTTAATTACAAAATGTAGAAATGTCCGTATAAGTGGCTTAGAGTGCCAGGATAATGTTTCTTCATTCATGAAAAAATGACAAAATTGGCATTTAATCGCAACTTTGATTAATTTATCATGTATCTTTAATTGTAGGAGGACATAAAACGTCCGTCGGCATTAAAATTATTCGAACATATTCAGGTAGCGATTTGATTCGCGTTTACAAAAGTTCATTACGTAAGTTATCGCCTGTAAGAATTTATAATACTTGAGAGCTGGGGGGCTTTGCATAGTAAATGGACGGCTGAGAGCCTCAACTCTCGCTTCGGCTTAGTTTAAATGAGAAGTTTTCTACCAGATAAACCCTTAGAGCATCGGCTCGACGAGAAATCCAGCCGCTCCCTGGGCATTTCAATGTCGCGTAATTCCTAGTGAGCGTTAATTCTTCGTGGATTAAAAACTTACTCGGATTTTAAAATATTTCATTCCGATTCAATGTGAACCTGCTTGCGGAATTCAAAATAACTGGCCAACAATCTCTTTTATTAATTATTTTCAAGTATTTTGGTTTCGGAAAAATCGGGTGTTATACGTAGCGTGGACAAAATACATGTTCATATAAGCACTTAGGAGTTCTTTTAATTTTTTGTTCATTAAATCCTTTTGCAAAAAATGAAACACCAACGGGTGGACGTACAACATAAATAAGATTTTTATTTCTACGACGTTCGCTAGATCACGTTTCTTGTATTTGCCAGCCTCAACTCTGCAAAGTCCTAGGATAGATGTCAAATCCAATAAGCTATCTTTGACACTTAGCTGAAACCGTATATTTGACACTGAGCCTAAAACTAAGATTTGCCGAACGAATCTGGTATGGCACACGCGAGGGCTCAAGCCCAGGCATCCACTGACCTATCACTTATGGGGAAAGAAAGAAAAAAAACCATATTCAAAAATGGGAAAAATAACAGTTTATTAGCTATATAAAATCTAATAATCAATGTTTTTCAGGAAAAGCCGTGATGTGTCTAATAGTTGAGGCATTAAGCTGTCCAAAGTAAAACTGTTGAGCTATTACACTTATTTTTAAATAGGTTATTCGTCATTAAAAACTAAGATAATTTTTCCCCAACTTAAACTTATACTCTATCTCATACGACTATTTTCCCATACCTGTACCATCCATGCATAATTAATCCGCCAAGCATTGCAACTTGTCATCGACGAATCTCACAATTATTACAGCATTATTCTACCTAATCCTACTGAGTGGCAGAGAGCTCGGCTAAACACAAGATTTCTGTCACGATTTAGAAAAGTTCTAAAACCTCGTAGCTGCTCTGAGCGCCGATATCAAGATCGATGCCTGTCGTAAAGCTCTTCAAGTGAGACTTGGTGAGGAAGTTCGATGCAAAACAAGTAAATACGTAAAGCTCGTTCAAAAGTGTCGAGTTCGGGGATTCGGAAAGGATGAGAAGCCAGTAGTTACGCAAGAAACCTAACAAAAATCGCACATGTGACTAAGTTAATCAGTAAATGTATTTAAGAAGATACGCATGGAAAAAGTTGTTGCATTTAGACCCTAAAAACGCAATTAATCCCCTTATTTGATGAAGAATAAAAACGTCGTAAACGAGACAGAACCCTCAAAAACAATTAAAAATTACTGTACATTTTTCATTAGATCAGCAAGAAGGAAAAACGACAAATTAAAATTTTGCAAAAAATTAGCCCACCATTACTGATGAAAAAATTGATGTGCTCCTATTGGTATTTTCTCAAGATTTTTTTTATATTCGTTGTTCATGATTCTATATGTGACAATAAGAAGTAATTCATAATTTCAATCAAGTAATGTAACTCAATTAATCAAGCTAATTTTCCAATATACTGTACTTCACTAACTACACTGTACTGAAGGTAAGGACTTCCGTTAAGTATACATTTTGAAGTGAATGCCACATCTGCACTGACAATCTTGTATAGTCTTTTGTCACGTGAATGAAGTCTTACTTGTTTGGAAGGTTGTTATACATAAATTTCTCGGCACTCAAGTCATATATGCCTTTCATTAACTTAAATTTTCCTTTCACCATAGTAAAATATTGCGAAAAATGAAATTGCATTACAAAAATATTGCACTACAAAAATAAAATTATAATTGAGTGATGAAAATTGCGACTGGACTACAAATCTGCGTTAGAAAACTTAAATCTAAGCATGAAATTTTAAAATATGCAAAGAAAACTATGATGATATTCAACACATCATTCGTTTTTAGCATGCATCTGGCGCAGTGGTTGAGCTCAATGCCCTGGAAATTCCAGCCAATTAAGCCGGTTAATCAATTTAGCCGCACACAAGAAGTGGCTATCACGTGCCACACAAAGAACTCATATCAAGCCGGTCAAAAACAACAGATTTGTGTTAGATGAATGTTATAAATATAGGCACTCAACCTGTTACTGCTTACAAGGTGGTGTGCGTGATATCTGATAAGTTAACTCGGCATGTGCGCAGGGTCGACGGCATCCTATTAAAATAATGTGAGCAAAGAACGTTATATGTCACCCAAGCCC